TTGTGAGCTATTTTTAAAAGCAATAGTTAGGGGAAAATTTATAGATGTAAAGGCCTATATTAGAGGAGATAAAAGATCCTAAATCAATGACTGCAACCTCCACTTTGAGAAACCAGAGATAGAGTAATGACTTAAATCCAAAGTAAATAGAAGGAAATGGTAAAAATGAGATCAGTAATCACTGATGTAGAAAACAGAAAATGTTAGCACAAATCCATAACCAAAAGTTGGTTCTTTTCATCTATCAATGAAATTGACACTCTTTCAGCCAGACTGATCAGAAAAAAGACAAAAAGTATAAATGTTGGGAATGAAAGCAACATCATAGTAAGTGCAAAGAGTCTGAACACTTTATGCCTGTAAATTTAACAACTTATGAAAAAAAAGGGTAACCTAAAATGGCTCTATATCTCTTAAAGAGATTGAATCTCTAATTAAAAACCTACCCCATAATGAAAAATCCAACGCTTCAAAAATGACTTCTTCCAAATATCTAAGGCAGAATTAACATATGTTCTATACTAACTCTTACAGAAAACTGAAGAAGAACTCATTCTATGAGACCTGGTTTCTAGTGTTATTCTAATTCCAACATCAGAGAAAAGACTTTACAAGAAATAAGAACTGTATACCAAAAGGAACTCCATCATTCTTTATTACTAGTATGCACCAATTTAAAAATATTTAAAATTTTAGTTTTTTTGAAAACATTTAGAAATAAGAGCTGCAAACCAACATCCTTCATAAACATAGATACAAAAATTAAAAACAAAACTTTTAGCAAATTTAAGCTAACAATACATAGAAAAGATATCATAGCATGACCAATGAGACAATGTTAAGATAGGATAATAAATCAATGTAATCAAAGAAATTAAGTCAGGCATGGTGGCACGTGCCTGTTCAAGCTCAGGTAAGGCAACTTACTGAATCAGTGAAACCCTATCTCAAAAAATAAAAGGGGGTACTGGGGATGCAGCTCAGTATGAAGGCCCTGAGTTCAATCCACAGTACCCTTATGCCCCCTAAAATAAATTAATTTCAAATACTTCACCATATTAACAAACTAGAAAAGAAAAACTGCATGAGAGATAACTATACAGTAACTAGAATGCCTAAAATTAAAAACACTGACCATACCTGATATAAAAGAGCTGTATCACTCAAATATTTCCCATGTAACATAAAATCATACAACCATTTTGGAAAGAAGTTTAACAGTTTCTTACTAAAATAAATGTGTATATTTCTTATTATAATAGAGATTTTCTCAAGAGAAATGAGAATATATGTCTAAACAAGACATGTCATAAAACTTATTATAGCCCAAAACTGGACCCATCTCAAATGTCCGTTAATAGCTGAGTATCTAAACTATGGCATATCCATTTAATGGAATACTATTCAACAACAAAAAGAAATAAATTATTGATACTCACTATAACATAGATGAATTGCAAAATAATTGAGTTGAGTGAAATAAACCAAAGTATATACATAATATATAATCTTGTTCATATAAATCTCAGAAAAGGGCTCAGTGGTTTCGCCGCCTGCTGTGCAAGCACAAGGACCTGAGTTCAATGCCCAGTACCAAAAAAAAAAAAAAAAATCTCAGAAAATACAAACTACTATATAATGACAGAAAGTAGGTCTACAGCTGCTTGGGAATTGAGGGCCTGGGTATGACTAGTGGACAGAAAGGGGTAGGAGACATGATTATAAAAGTGCACAAAAAAAATTTGGGGTGATGAATATATCCCTTTTATTAATTGTGGTTTTAAGGATAAATATATATGTCAAAATTAGTCAAATTGAGCCATAGATCCCTCTTATTTGCAATTTATTAAATACCAATATCATCTCAAAAACTATTTTTAAAAAATTATTTTCAAACTCTGAATGAATACAACCAAAATTCACTCAAGCAGATTAATTTCTGCTGTTCTTCATTAACACAGCAGAGTCAGTATGTGCCAATTCCTACCTCCAGTAGGTCTCTGAGCTGCATTTGAAGTCAATTGTCTGATTACACTGGAGAAGTACATGAGAATTTCTACTATCATTTAAAACAAATTAATTTCCCATTTCATTTATCTAGTTGTAATTCTCCGACTGGGAGCCATTGCAAATGACCTTATAAAGAGTCACAAACAAAGATATCATTAGAAAAATCAGGCTAAAAGTCCTCAAACTCACAATTTCATTCTCTCTCTCCTTTCATATACCCTCCTATGATTATCAGCTTTTCTTTTTTTAAATCTTTGCCTTTGTAAGTCTCATTTTCATAATTTAACTCATACGATATTGGTAAATTACAGTACTTTGCCCTAAGGCTATAAAAGAGCTTCTGTATATTCTATTATAAAATTATCTAATTAATAATTTCTATATATTGCCACTAAGCAGAACTACATGGCTCAATTATGATGATGGGGTCTCACTGCATGCATGTTATGAAACCGCAAGTCATCATTTAATGTCAGGCATATGTATGAGTGAGAAAGGATGAGCTGAAACACTAACAAGGGGAATGAAAAGCATCTAATTCTAATGCTAGTTTCCCAGGATGCATTTTGTGAATTAAAGCAAGTAAATTGTGGCCAAGGGTAGAAAAGGTAAGGAAAGAGGAGGACAGAGGGAGAGAAACGAAGTGAAACAAAGGTCAGGAATAAAAGGGAATGCCAAAGAAAACAAGATGTATTATTAAATCCAATTAAAAACACCCTGTGCGAATATGGTGTAGAAGCTTCACTAAACAGCTACATAATTTAAAACTTAGCTCTAGGAATGGCAAACATGGACACTGAACGTAGACAGATAAGCATCTCCCCCCAACCTCAAGCCATTCAAAGTTTTGAATTATTGTCTGTTTGTGTTTGATTCCTGGCACTTATATTATCTTACTGATATAAATACCCATAATCTCCCAGGGAAGCTGCTGTTTCACTCACAGTAAGCCTCGGTGCATGAGTCTAAATGTTACATTAAACAATCCCCATTTAGGTGGAATATTATGTATGAACTCTATGACTATTAGATAAGGAAAATTTGTTTTTGTGCCTTTTTAAAAATCACATGAACTAATAAGATCCTCTGGGGTAATCTTCTAGCAAAGTCTAGAGTAAATACAGTATCATCTTAGTCACCTAGTTTAACCTCCCACTGAAATGAGGGCTCTATCTAATCAGTTTACTCTGATTGTTTCAATCAAAACAAAATAGATAAACTTAACACATTTAATACTTAAATATCTCCATAGTTCCCATTAACAACATTTATAACCAAATCATTTGAGCCTGGGAAAAATTGCATGTGATCCTTGCCCTCTATGTGTTTAGCATACATTATAGTTCATTATCATACAACCCTCAACCAATTGATTTATTTTAGAAAAAGAAAAGCAAAGAAGGCCTTGACCCTCAGTGGAAAAAAAAGTAGAGGCTGATAAGACTATATTAATCATCTTAATGTGTCTAAAATTTAGTTAGTTGTAAACAGTCCACAAATCTACATTATATTCAGTCATTAGAGTATGTTTTAAAGTATCCCAGAAAATCTAAGTTTAGAAAATATTCACAAAGCTAAAATAGTAAGGTGACACTACACATTTATACTAGTAACTTCACAAGAAGCCCAGGCAAAAATAAGGACAAAAATATTCAAATGAGTCCAAAGAAGATAACTCTGCTTGGTCCAACTTTTTCTCTGCAATCAAGTAAGCAATGTGCCTAATTGCGCCTCCCTGTTTCGACCTCATTTGACTTCAGCAATGTGACCAGAGGGAATGAGCAGAAACCATCTGAAGGAAGCTCTGGTTCCCTTTTTGGTTCTTTCTCTCTTTCCTCGCTGCTCCCTCTCCTTCTCCCTGTCTCCCCTCCCTTTCTGCCTCCCTTCCTCCCTCTCTCTCTTTGTAAGATAAAGTTTATCTCTCACCTCTAGTATATTTCACTGAATTAACTGATCACTTCTCAACTCTATTTCAAGTAGCCTATATTACCAACTATTCCCTAAGTTTCACAATTAAGAACACTGAGAAAAATAACAACAAAAAAATTCACTTCCCCAGTCTAAAAAAGACAATAGCTTTAGAATTGAGAAGAAGATTCATCTGGGGAATATGAGTACTTTTATAGAATTCAGTATTTTTTTTTAAAAAAGTGTACCCAAGACTACTTTCACAATGTCAGAAAAGGCTGGAGTTGGATGTGGCCGGAGAAATAATCCAATACATCTTCTAACATAAAAAATTAAGCAAGGGTGAGGGATGTAGCTCAGTGGTAGAGAACCTGCCTAGCATGTGCAAGCCCCTGACTTTGATCCCCATGACAACAAAAAGTAAAAATAAAAATTGTAAAAAATTTGAATTATTTAATATTTGTCATAAATACATGTTGGGAGAGAGATTTTAAACTTAGTTTTTAGATTTTAATGCTCCTTTAGCTTCACCAAGTTGATAACACCTCTCCTAGACTTTAACGCAAATAGTTTCATCTTTTTTTACAAGATGGAAGTAAAGATAGTAAGTTTATTAGTGAGCTTTTATATGAAACTTAAAATTATGTCTTGATTAATGTATAATTTGGCACATACTCCCATACTTATACACAGTTGTCATTTTTATTTCCAGAATCTGAAAAATTCTGAACTATAATGAAAGCTTTCTGTATTCGCTAATGATTTTCTACTTAAAAAAATAAAACAAAACAAAAGCTTCACTATTTTGGAGAAGTTGTTTTCTTAACCACAAAGCACATCAAAAATTTCAGGAGGAACTGCTAGAACACCATTCTTTCCCAGAGTCAAAGCTTGCTACCCACTCCATAACACTGAGACGCATTCAGATTTACTTAGGGGTGAGATGCAAACATTCCCCTCCTCTCCCTCATCCCCTTTCTCCTCCTTCCCTTTCTCCTCCTCCTCCTCCTGTTCTACTTTATCCTCTTTGTCTTTTCCTTTTCATAAAACAAATCCATTGAGTCATATCATATGCTACTTACCACTCGCATTCACAAACATCAAAAGGATGGCAATCTGTTTAATATCCTGCAGATGAACATGCGCTCAAAAGTGGCATTGGCAACTGGGCACTGGCTGCCCACTGGGCACCAAGCAGTGATGTGCTAAAGATCTGGCGTGTTGTTCCATAGAGAAGAATGATATTCATTACAGTTGTATCAAAAACAAATTATGTACCAAATGTTTGCCTCAATAAGTACTTGAACAATCATTTATCTGTCTTTCACTCATCCCTTCACAGCCTCTCCCCTTCAGCTCTGATCAGCGTTCAGTACTTTGCCTGTTTGCATGCATGCTCTCTCATCTGTTTCTGTGAGCTCGCTACAGTTTCTCCTTATACCAGCCCCCAGGATGTGGTCAAAATTATGCAATACCTCCACATAAGAGAACCATGAACAAAACATGTATAAATTCTTTTACAAAATACTTTCAATAGCATCTGATGTTGTCTCATTTTTGTCATGCGGTTGATAGCTAACACTGGAGAACTGGTGGTATTTACTTTTCATTTCCCATATGTCAAATATAGTCATAAGGAAATGACCTAAAATTTAGCAAGATAAAACTAAAATCTAAAACATACCTAATGAATTTTAGCTAGAAATTAGAAATAATTTAAATCAGATTCTTTACCTTAAAGATTGAGAGGCTAGGGTGCCAAGAAGATCATGGACCCAGTTCTCTGGGCTGGTTTGTGCCTAGCAGTGCTGCACTTAGAAATCAAGAGAGTTTTCTTCTATACCACACTAACAATTTTCCTTTGAAGATGTCAATTTCAATTTGAAGAATAAAATATTGTTAGTTTTCTTCTAGCTCACATTTACAGATATTTACAAATGCAACATTTGCCTGAGGGCTGGGGAAAGAAACTATGTAAGGAGAACAGAATTTAAAGTTTCTTTCTGTTTCTTTCCCTCATTCATACTCTCTTGGCTTGGGCATCACTATTGACTCCTACCTAATATACTACAGTAACTTAACTTATTATTTTGTCTCATCTCACTAATTTATCTTCTACAAGTCCATGTGATTCTCCCTCTCTTTCCCAAATTATTTTTTGCCTAGCACTTGTATCTAAAATTGGAAGAAAAGTATTATTATGGTTGCAGTTGTAATCTAAGATGGGTAGGAGATGATAGTAACAATAGCATTAGAGACAAGTTCTAGAATTGTTAAGCTTATTGGTTTAAACAGAGCATATGATGTTGGAGAGAAGTGGGAAATAAAATGTTGGGGCCAAGTTTTGGAGAACCTTGAATATCACACTAGGCACAGAGATCTTTTTATCCCCTATAGAGAATACAGCTCTATGAAAGGTCCATACTGAGATAAATAACACAATGAACATCTCTGGTCTCTGCCTCCTAGGCTGAAAACCTTCATTATTGAAAGAATATGAGTAGCAATTCAGAGCAATAGACTGCTAGCATTAGTTCTGGATTCTACCATTTGCTGTGACTTTGGCAAATACCTTAACTTCTCTGTCCTTCAGTGTCTTCAGCTTTAAAAAAGAGATGATGATGATGATGATGACGATGGTGGTGATGAATGCACTACATAAAGTGGGAGTTAATTCATACAAAATGAATAGCTCATTTCATAGAAGTAGGTTAGGTGAAGTAGGAGTTTGCTGAAGAGTAATAAGCAGGGATGGTTCAACATACGCAAATCAATCAATGTAATACACTATATCAATAGAGCCAAGGACAAAAACCATATGATTGTCTCCACAGATGCAGAAAAAGCATTTGACAAAACTCAACATACATTTATGATAAAAACCCTACAAAAAATTGGAATAGATGGTCTCTACCTCAAACTGATAAAAGCCATCTATGAAAACCCAACAGCCA